CCCCAAAACCCCAAAACCCCAAAACCCCAAAACCCCGCAATATTCAGAGGGTATTGGATAGGAATAAAATTTTAGGCATTAGAGACCGAAATGTTTTCTTAAAAGCTCTTTATCTAGCTTATTTCAGCGATTTCCAGGACTTTGAATCTCATCTTCAATGTGAAAGGATTCTTGTGAAGTTTTCAAGGGATTTTTGATTTCTTGATTTTGAGCTCTGGAAGGGGAATTTTGAATATTTTGGTGGTTAGGAGGACTTTGGAGCCTAGAGAATGTGGATTTCTTAGTTGTTTTTAAATTGGACTTGAACGTTATGTTTGTGTTTGATTGAGCTAAGAGATTAGGAGAATCTTACTAAGATTTTCTTGCTTTTTATTTATTGAAATTACACCACTCATAATGCCAGTAGCAATCTCGTCCACTCTTTTCTTTAAATGTTGATGAAAGACATTCTTTGAGTTCGAGTCACTTTCCTTATTTTTCATAGATGTTATCAGATGGTTTTTCACTTTCTTTAGGAGGATCGGGTCTGAATACTCTCATCTTTGTTCCATAGTATCTGTAATAATTTGACTCAGATATAAGTCTGATTGCTTTTGATAACTTCCTGAGCATTCATAGCTCTGAATGGTCTGCAGATATCTCCAAAAATTGCACCATTGATTCACTTAACTCTTCATGGGGGTGTAATATCCTCACTTTACGTAGTTCTTTCTCCAGATTTGTGAACCTTACAACTTCTAAGTGTGCTTCTTTGGTGGAAGTCACACAGTGAATTCGTGACACATCTTCAGGATTCAGCATGTCTTGAGAGCTATTGAGTTTGTGAAACTCGATATGGTTGATGATCCTGTTGAAAACTCTAATGTCACAAGGCTCAAGTATGTCGAAATTGAGATGCTTTGTAGACTCAGGCTTATCCTCCTTAATCCCAAACTGTTCCAAAAATGTATGCAATTTATTCAGATCTACAAAATCCTGAATAGTAGGAGAAAAGAATTCTTTAATTGACAGATACTCAGGAATGCTAAAAACTATCCCTAATTTTTGAAAACTGCTAATAAGTTCCTTTCTCTTGATGATCTGGTACTCTTTCCCATCGATAACTTTATCAAATACATCTCCATGGCAAATATCCAGAAGAGATAAGTTCTTTGCGAAAAAGGCATCTGCTAGTTTTATCAGAGAGGCTTTTGTTATTTCAGTCAGATCTGCAATACTAATATTGTAGGAAGTATCATCTTGACTCCTTTTCAGTGTCACCATTTCTTTATTTTGGCTCGAGAATCTAAAACAAGGTCTTCATTTGTTCCAATAACCATATTTGTAGAAAATTTTTGGCTGAAATTTCCTCAAACCAAAAGAAAAGAGCAATAACTGTTTAAGCCAAATTATGAAGAAATCATTATGGAATTATAAAATATAAAAATCAAGAAATTGTATGAATTTTAGCCTTTACCAATTCAAAATTGCAACAAATATCCGAGTTTCAATAACTCCTGGCATATCTTGGGGTGATCCTCACCAGTTTTAAATTTTTTTTAATCGAATCCAAAGAAAATGTGTAATAATACTTACTTTTTCTTCAACTCAGAGTCTGACCGCTTTAGATCTTTGAAAGTTATTTTCTTTGTGGTCCTAAATTTTAGTCATATCACAAGATTATCGTTAAAGTAAGGAATGTATTACTGTGTATAAATCTAATTTCAAATAAATTTTAGAAAATGAAAGTTTCGATAAGCTGACACTATAGAACAAATTTTGGTGGATGACTTACCCTGTTAGTCGTAAGCAGGGGATCAAGTCTTTTTCAATGACCTCAGGCTTGATTTGATGAATTGAGCTACTCTTTTGCAGCAAGATGATCCCCAGCATTTTGTAATCTGCAATCACTTTGTGCTTTTGAAAGATACCCACAACTTCTAATGGGTAGATAAAGTTCTTTTCACAAAGCTGTTTGAAGTCTTCGATAAGACTCTTTTGAGCTTTCTTTATTTTTACTGTTTGGTTCAAGATCTTAGAGAGGTCTTTAGGTATTTTCTGGCAATCTCCAGCAAATTGCCTTATTTTAGCTCATATTTGACCCTTGTTCATCCCAGTTTTAGACATTGGTGTTCCATTGTTTTCTCTGAAATAGTTACATAACTTCATTGCTAGAGATTATTACAGGGATCATACAATCACTCTTGGTCAATAAAAAGGTGCTTCTTAAAAATTCTATCAGTTCTATTGGTGTAAATGAGGATCTTTGTGGTAGAAGATCTTCAAGATTGCTATCCAAAATATTCATAGCATGGTTAACCTGATCCTTGAGATGTTGCACCTGAGTATTTTATCTATAACACTTACGCTTTCTTCTGAAACTCCAAGGTCATTATTACTCATTTCACACATAGTTTTAAAGGCAGGCCCTTTTCCATAAGCTCTACGAGGCTTCTTCTCAAGATTCTTGATATATTTCTTTGTTTCAAAAAGATTTCATTGAGTTGGGTCGAAATGTAAATTCCCTATTTTTAGTTAAAATACACACTTTATCCTAAAAATTAGTGAAAAGGAAATATAATTAGTCATAAATCCTAAAAGCTTCTTTTGGCTTAATTTTGCAGGAATTCATACATATTCTAAGTAAAAATACTCAGAATAGGTATTTTCGAAGGCTAATCTTACCATTATATTTCTTAATCTGCGGCATGTTTATGAGATCGTGAGGAGCTGGAGATTTTTTTTTACCAAAAGTGTTATTCAGGCTAGAAAGATTGGTTCAGCGGCTCTGAAAATAAGTGGAATCTTGAAAAAGAAAATACAGGTTTAATGCAAACAATAAGCATGAGAATGGATTAACTATTAAAGTATTTTTGTAGATGTTGACTAAAGAAAGATGAAAGGTCTCTGTCATTGTGATCGCTCTGTATGACTATTGGGTTATTAAGCACCAAAGCAGTTACAACATACTAGGAAATTAAATTCACTTTCAAGTGTTAGCAGCCTACCTCGCATTTCTAAGTTTAACACTAGGGATTGAGTGATCTATAAAATTCCTCGGAGTTTGATTTTCTGACATAATTTCATGACTCTTTTTCTCTCTAGCTGTTGAATATTGGTATCTTCTATTTTCTAAAAATGGGTTATTTTAAATTTGGAGAATTATAAAGAAAAGTCTCATTAATGTTGAGAGTACTTACAGTCCTGTTTGTCTATTCCTTGGCTCTATACAGTATTTTAGAATGAAATAATAGCAGTTATTAGAGAACCAAAAGTCGATTCAAATTATATACACAAATTTCGACCAATCGCTTCTATCTAATCAGTCAAAATCTCTCCACAGTGCTTTATTCTTTGCTTAAACCTTCAAAATACTTACTAAATTTCTTCCTGGGAGAACCCACTCTTGAATCCAGCTGAAGAGTTATGTTGATGTTATTGGCCACGACTAGGTTTTCACGAGGAGTGTTTAGCATAGGCAGGTCTTTTGAAGTGGAGGGGTTCATGGAAGTAAAGTTCTGGGCAGGTAGAGGGGAGGTAGGACGTGATCTAGCAGTGGGAAAGGGAGGGGATTGGAAGAGACCTGTGTGGTTACTTCTTTCTTTTCTCCTTCTTTGGATTTTATTGAGGGGAACTCTATATAGCCTAAATCAGTACTCAAGCAGCTTAAAAGGAAACTTCCCGTGCAGAAATTTACGTACAGGGCCTGGCCTGTGCTGGGATTTATAGGGATAAAGGGAGTATTGGGGAGTGCAGTGGGAAGAGATTTTGTAGATTGGGCTCAAGGTAGAGAGGAGATAGGGGAGGGTTAGAAAGTGTGCCTTCGTATAGGATTTGGATGAGGCTGGGATTAGTTCACTTGAGAATGTGACGAGTGATGGGGAAATGATTATTTAGAGGGTTATATGGCTTGGAGGGAAAGAGAGAAGAAATAAGATTAGGGATCGATGCTGTATTGAACTTGTATCAAAGGATATTTTGAATGGTAATTAGTTGATCCAAACTAAGACACCTTCTTCAGAGAAAGCATTAGAAATTGAAAGACATCATGCTCTTGAGAAGAGAAGAAAAGATAAAAAGAAGGATGTGAAAAAATAATGGATTAGAGGTTTTACAACTCATCTTAGAAGAGAAACAACAAAGCATAATTACCAAGTAAACCCCCAATGGTGGAAAGAGGGAGATCAGATACAAAATGGTACAAATGCCGAATTATCAGCATAATAGATCAGTAAAGGTGAAGTGCAAGTAATAATTTTGAAGGAAACCATTCTTTTTAAAATCTTCCATTATAGCTCAGGATAAGATTTACCTGACTCGACTTCTAGTCTATAATTTTAACCAGGTTAATCCAAACCTGAGCTACTGAGAATGATAAAAAAGAGAATCTTTCCTTCAAAATTTTTATGTTTAAGTAAGAGTGTTTGTGAGTCTTAAAAATAACTCTAGGTCTGGGAGTTCAGAAGTGTATAAAAAGAGAATTAAAAGGAAACATTTTTGTTCTCATTTGAAAATTGAGTGATGTATTAGGCAAGACTTTCAACTCACTAATGTCAATACTCATTAAAATATTCTCGACATTCAAAGTATCAAGATATTCTTTTTCGATGACTAAGCTATCTAAAAATTTTGTTTTATCTGAGAAAGTTAGAAGCTTGATTATGAATACTGCATAGCAGTTGAGAAATACATGGCTTCTAGAGCATGATATAAACTTAATTCATCAATATTTTAGTTTCTTTTGTAAAATAAAGCATTATCTTTGTTCATTCTAATTGATTAATTTTGTCAAGACCTTATAGCAAGAACTAATTCCAACCCTTCTAAATCGACTGTTTTTGAAATTTTCGGCATTCTCCATACAAATAAAATTTACACATTCAAGTTGCTGAAATTACAAACAGTTGAGGTTTATAAAATTGTTCATATTCTAGAACTCTTTGATGAAAATTTCATTGAAAGTTTCGAAAATTAGGGAGATTTTTTATCATAATTTAAGAAATCATAAAAATCCTTAGCATAGGAATTAATGTTCTCAATGGAGTTATAATAAAATCAAGATTACTAGTCTAATGATTTCTCAACTTTTTATAATTTCTACAAATGTTGGACTAATTATAATTATGGCTCAGAAAACTGGCTTCACCAAGATAAGCCGATTTAACTCAGTATGCGGGCCTACTTTGTAAAACAGCAGCTAGTAATGTTTTAATTAATATCTATCATAAGCGGGGGTTTTAAGTCTTCCCAAGAACAAAGAAAATAAATTATGGAATAAAGATGATCATTGGTAATCTACGATAAAGAGTATTTCTACATAAAGTTAAATTCAAACATCCTTTTTGAGGTAATACATTTCAGAGATTTTCAACAGAGGTTTTAATTTCCTTACTTTTTACATTCAATCTTGCCGGTTATGTTCTTTTTCATATACCCTAAGTGTGGTTAGACCAAAGGTTGATCAAAATAAAATTTTTGAAGGGATATAGGAAGATCATCTTACTTTTGTTCAAAATATTATTAACTTCTTCCATATTTTATTTATATCTGGGGTTTTGGGGTTTTGGGGTTTTGGGGTTTTGGGG